GTGGTGTGGTGGTGGTGGTGTGGTGGTGGTGGTGGTGGTGGTGGGTAGTAGTAGTAGTAGTAGTAGTAGTAGTAGTCGTGGTAGTAGTCGTAGTAGTCGTAGTCGACGTCGTAGTTGTAGTCGTAGTCGTAGTCGTAGTAGTAATACTAATAGGAGTAGGAGTAGGAGTAGGAGCAGGAGGAGGAGGAGGAGGAGGAGGATAATGAGGAGGAGGAGGAGGAGGAGGAGGAGGAGGAGGAGGAGCAAGAGGAGCCATCAACTTGATGGCTCCTCTTGCTACTCCTCTTGATACCTAGATGGTCCATCAGGGTATAATACCATATCAACCAGGCCAACCCTACAAGTGGTGAGAGGAAGAAGCTGGCAATGCATGGTATAGGCATCGTACCATTGAGCAGCACCGTACTTAATACGAACATCAATGCTACGAAGAATAATGGATATAGCCATAACACTACGCATGCCAGTAATAATCATATCCATCGGATTTTTCCCGGCGAAGGACTCAACCATATGCAGTTGTGAGTACAGTCGTTTCGGGCATCGCCGTTGGGGGATCTCCTCATGGGGCCATGAAGCGTGCCAAGGGTGTGCCGTTGTGGGGCGACTCCGCCATGTGGGCGCTGCCACTGGTGCTCAAGGCGGAACGCTCTACGGGGCCGCGAAAAGTGTGAGCGGTGCGCCGCAACGGGGCGGGGCCGCAACGCCACTGGGGCCTTCAGTGGAGGTCCCTGTGGGGCCACGAAACTTTGGTGACGCATGTGAGTTCCGCCACTGGGACCTTCGGTGAAGCTTCCTACGGGGCCACGAAACATCGCATTGGGCGCAGGAACCGCATGCGCGTTCCGCCACTGGGACCTTCGGTGGTGGAGTTCCGTGTGGGGCCACGAAACTCTGTATTGGGGGCAGGAACCGCATGCGAGTTCCGCCACTAGGACTTTCGGTGGAGCTCCCTACGGGGCCACGAAGCGCTGTACTGGGTGGGGGTGGCGCATGCGGGCGGTGCCACTGGGGCCTTCGGTGGAGTTCCCCATGGGGCCACGAAACGCTGTACTGGGCGCAGGAACCGCATGCGAGTTCCATCACTGGGACCTTCGGTGGAGCTCCCGATGGGGCCACGAAACGCTGTACTGGGCGCAGGAACCGCATGCGAGTTCCATCACTGGGACCTTCGGTGGAGCTCCCTATGGGGCCACGAAACGTTGTACTGGGCGCAAGAACCGCATGCGAGTCCCGCCACTGGGACCTTCGGTGGAGTTCCATATGGGGCCACGTTTTGCTGGGCGCAGGAACTGCATGCGAGTTCCGCCACGGGGACGTTCGGTGGAGTTCCCTATGTGGCCGCGAAACACCGCGCTGGGCACAGGAGCTGCATGCGAGTTCCGCTACGGGGACCTTCGGTGGAGCTTTTTATGGGGCCACGAAGCGCTGTGCTGGGCGGAGAGCAGAGGCACGGGAGGAGGGGGGAGGGGGAGGAGGGAGGAGGAGGAGGAGGAGGAGGAGGAGGAGGAGGAGGAGGAGGAGGGAGGAGGAGGGAGGAGGAAGGAGGAAGGAGGAGGAAGGAGGAAGGAGGAAGGAGCAAGGAAACAGGAGGAAGGAGGAAGGAGGAAGGGAGGAAGGAGGAAGGAGGAGGGAGGAGGAGGAGGAGGAGGAGGAAGAAGGAAGGAGGAAGGAGGAAGGAGGAAGGAGGAAGGAGGGAGGAGGAAGGAGGAAGGAGGAAGGAGGAAGGAGGAATAGGAGGAATAGGAGGAGTAGGATGAGGAGGAGAAGGAGGAGGAGGAGATGCGGGGCGCTTTCTTTTCAAAACGAGGACCCACACCACAGGATGGTTGGGAAAAATAGTACCAACATTTTTCAATGCTAAACAGGAAACGAAAAAGAGGAAGAGGATTTTGAGGAATAGTAGGAGGAGGACGAGGGTGAACAGGAACAAGGAGCAAACGGGGAAGGAGCAGAGGGGGAGGAACAAGAGGAGGGGGGGCAAGGGCAGGAACGCGGAGCTGCGGGCGAGTTGAGTGGAGGAGTTGGCGGGGAGGGCGGAGGAGAAGGGGAGGCGGAAACGTTAGAAGCCTGCAGCCTGGAGCTGGCCTCCCGTGCAGACTGGCCCCGGGAGCCTCGAAGCCCAGCGGCGGAGCGCACGGGGACGAGACTGAGGGGCGGGCGGGAGGCGGGGGTCGGCGGTCGTGGGGGGCCGTGGGGCGGAGTCGGCGGTCGTGGGGCGGAGCCGCTGCGCCTGGCCGGAGGTACGGCCACGATGGCGGCTCCGCGGACCCTCGTCGCAGCGGCTCGGTGGCGCGGGGCGCCGCCAAAAGCGGGGCGGCCGTCGTCGCTCTGCCTCCTGCTGCCCCTCCCCTGCCTCGTGGTCGCCGCCGCCGTTGTGGTCCACTTCGTCGGCCTCGGTGCCGTCGTTCGCCTGCTCCTGCTCCTGCTCCTCCTCCTCCTCCTCCTCCTCATCCTCCTCCTCCGTCGTTCGGCCAGATCTGAAGGCCCGTTCGATTCGAAATCTATCTTCCCTCTCCTCCATCCTTCTTCCTGATAAACAACTCCTCGCGCCCCGAGACGGGTTGGTAGGGCGGGCCCGGCGTTCCGCTTGAGATTTCCTCACCATGTGTTATAGCGAAACCTGAAAGTTGCAACTGTTTCACGGATGGAGGGCGGGTGGCTCTCAATTTATGGCTCTCGCCCTAGCGCTGCGCATATTTGTTTCAAAGTTGGCAAGAGCTTCATGGATAGAGGGCGGGTGGTTTTCAAAGTGTGGCTCTCGCCTTTGCGCCGCGCACATGAGGGTGGGTCGTTTTCAAAATGTGGCTCTCTCCCCAACGCCGCGCACATGCGTCCTACAATCTTTTCAAGAGTTTCACGGATGGAGGGTGGTTCCTTTTCAAACTGTGTCTCTCGCCTTAGCGCCGCGCGCATTCGTTTCAACAGCTCGCAGCAGTTTCAAGGATTCTTGTGGGTGTCGCCCCAGAAATGGTGCTCTGGTACGGTTCAGGACTGTCATGTCGCAGCAGTGACGTTGATTCGCAGTGGCTGTTTGGCACGGTAGAAGATTTTCAAGCGGTTGTCTTCCAGCAGGGCTCTTCCCGCACTAGAGATGGGTCTTTCATGAGTATTGGGTTTGCACTGGTCCGCCTCCTCCTCCTCTTCGGGGCAAGGTGCCTGGCTCATCCGTTCCACCTGCGCGCGCCTACCTGTGCTCTTCCCGCCATTCTGTGGTCGTGCCTCCGTTCTGAACAGGGCACCGGCAAATCCCTCCCTACTCTTCCTTCTCCTCGCCCTCCTCCTCGCCCTCCTTCCTTCTCTCCCTTCTTATCCTGCTCCTTGCCCTCCTCCTCGTCCTCCTTGCCCAGCTTTCTCTGTCCTCTGCCCTTCGCGTTCTCCGCCGTGCCTCCCGCCTCTTCCATCCTGCTTTCTGGGCCAGCGCGAAGCGTGCAGCTGTCGCAGCTTTGCTGCGCCCCCTGGGAGGAGGGGGTCAGCGGAGCGCCCAGCTGCGCGTGTGTCGAGGCAGCGACTTGGCTTTGCGCCACGTCGCGGCAGCCCTCGCAGCAGCACGCACTGCAAGATCTTCATGACCTTAAGGGGCCGCCTTCCTTTTCCCCCCCTTCCCGCGGCCGCCGCCGCCAACCCCCCTGTGTCTCTGCGCATTAGTTTGAGGTTAACAGCAGCCCTGCTTCCTCGACCGACTTGCGCGATCGCCGTGTCTGCAACCAAAAAAGCGTCGAGGAAGCGCAGGCTTGGATTGAAGCGCATGCATTAGCGACGGGTCATTCTCGTTATCCTGCTTCTCGTCCTCCTCTGCCTTCTCTCGTTCTCCTGCTCCTGGTCCTCCTTGTCCTCCCCCCTGCTTTCCGTTCTTGTCCGGTCAGGTTGCGCGGCGGCGATCCCTGCAATTGCGGCTGCAGCATCGAAGGAGTGGATAAGAAGCAATAATCAACGACCAGTCCCTTTTCCACATCAGTTTGACGCGCTCCGTCGCCCAATTAGGTGGCGCCTGCTTCCTGTTTCGCTGCGATGCGTGGATCCGGCGCCCACGCGCCAGATCCACGGATCCGTAATCCATGTCCGCGTGGGTAAGGCAAGGATTGCCCTCCGCCTTAGGCCTTAGGCGTCGGCAAGCGCACAAGTGTGCCCACTCTCCTGCGCCCTCTCTCCTGCGCCTCTCTGAGGAGGGTTGCGGGGCGGGGTTCTGGTGGAGCGCCTTGTTCCGCGGACACCCGAAGGAGTAAACGCCCTCGCCTCCCAGGGTGCTGCCGAGCGCACAGCAGCCTCCCTGCGTTGCCGCGTCCGCGTGGGGTCCAGCACAGCGCCCCGCTGAGCAGATCCTCACAACCTCCTCTGCTGCGCTGTGGTGCACAGCGCGCAGCTGTCCCCCTTTCCTGCGCCCCTGGAGGGTGCCCTGTCCAGAGGATCACCTTCGCCTCCCTCGGTGTTCGAACATACACAGTTGGTGCGTTCCAAAAAGGGCCTTCGAGTGCTCGAAAGGTTGCCATCTCTTCCTCGGTGGGCGGCTAAAGACCGGCGGAAGGCGGCGGAAGTAAAACTACGAGGCCGCCGCCGCCAGCGGAAGCTGGCGGAAGGCCGTCGGAAACCTGCGGACGTAACAACTGCGTCCCAAGAGATGGCAACCTTTCTGGATTCAGGGCTTCCAGGACCCGCCAATTGTCCCCGCTGCTGCGCACCTGGAGGGTCGTCGGCGTGGCGTCTGACGCACGTTCCTCGCCCAGTGGGCGCTGCGAAAACGTACGGAGGCTGGGGGGGTCAGCGCAGTGCCCCCCCTGGGTGCTTCAAGCGCTCGGCATTCACAACCCTCCTGCACCCATCGGGATTCCAGTGGAGTGGCGACTTACGCAGATCCACACAGTTCTAGATGCTTCGCGTGTGCCCGACAGCCCATCCAGAAGCGTTGCCCAGCCGAGTTGCTTTCATTAGGGAAGCATAAGAGCAGGCAGCGGAACAAAGAGGGGGACAGCCGTCGAACCTAAGTTGCAAACGAGTATGATGATGGTACTGATGATGATGCTGTTGATGATGATGATGATGATGATGATGATGATGTTGATGATGATAATGGTGATGAGGATGACGACGAGGAGGAGGAGAATGAGGATGAGGATTAGGATGCTGCTGGTGATGATGCTGATGACGATGACGATGACGATAACGATGATGCTGATGCTAATGCTGATGATGATGACGATGATGATGCTGCTGCTGCTGATGATGATGAGGATGATGATGCTGCTGCTGATGATGATGACGACGATGTATGATGATGCTGATTCTGATGATGATGCTGCTGCTGATGGTGCTGCTGATGATACTGATGATGATGGTGCTGATGATGGTGCTGATGCTGATGATGATGATGATGACGATGATGATGATGCTGATGATGCTGCTGCTGCTGATTCTGATGCTGCTGCTGATGATGATGCTGCTGCTGATGATGATGAGGATGATGATGCTGATGTTGATGATGATGATGATGCTGATGATGATGCTGATGAAGACGATGATGGTGATGATGATGCTGGTGATGATGATGATGCTGCTGCTGATGATGATGATGCTGATGCTGCTGATGATGATGATGATGATGGTGGTGGTGGTGGTGGTTGTGGTGATGATGATGATGATGATGATGATGATGATGATGATGATGACGATGATGATGATGATGACGATGATGATGATGATGATGCTGATGATATGATGCTGATGATGATGCTGATGATGATGATGATGATGATGATGATGATGATGATGATGATGATGATGCTGCTGCTGCTGCTGCTGATGATGATGATGATGATGATGATGATGATGATGATGATGATGATGATGATGATGATGATGATGATGATGATGATGATGATGATGATGATGATGATGATGCTGATGATGATGATGATGAGAGGAGGAGGAGGAGGAGGAGGAGGAGGAGGAGGAGGAGGATGAGAAAACATGAGGAATGATGAGTGTAAGGAGGAGGAAGGCAGTCAAAAGGAATCCGCCGACCCTGTCGGCGTGTGTGAGACGCATTTCCGTTTCAGTCGTCGTCATCGCCGCCGCCGCGTCGTCATCGTCGTCGTCGTCGTCGTCGTCGGCGTCGTCGTCTTCGTCGCCGCTCCTCCCCTTTCCCTGGACCCTCCTCCTCAAGCGGGCCAACCAGAGGGAAATCGAGCAACTTCTCATCGAGTCGAAGGGAAGCCTCTTCCTTTTGATCCCTTCTTCCCCGCAGGGAGGGGTCCTGGGGTGGTTTACCGGGGGGGAGGTCCCGGGGAGGGGGGGTCCGCTGGGGGTTCCAGGGGATCGGGGGTGTGGTCCTGGGGGTGCGTCACCTCTCCCTCGGACTCCACACGGCTACGAGAGGCCTGCAAATAGCATAAGAAAGCTCCATGTTCGCGCACATTGCAGCAACATTGTTCAAGATAGCTTCCAACATGCCTCCACGAGACCTCAGGTCCGCTCCAAAGCAGCTCCTAAGAGCGCTTCAATAGCGAGTCAGGTTGGGCCAACGAGGCTCATTTTAGAGGCCTGGTGGGGGGACGCACATGGGTAACCCTCCTTCTTTGATCGATGGCCTCCAAGAGAGCCCCACGAGGCCTCCAAGGGCCTCGAAGAGAGCCCCAAGAGAGACCTCAGAGAGCCCCAAGAAGGACTCAGAGGACTTCAAACTTGTCCCAGCAGATGGATCCCAGAGGGCTTCTGAGACCTCCAAAATCGGCCTAGGAGGACCCTATGATGGCCCCAAGAGGCCTGTCCCTCTCTCTCTCTCTTTCTTCCCTTCCCGCTTCCCCCCTCCCCCTCCTCCCCCTTCCATTCTCTTCCTCCTCCTCCTCCTCCTCCTCCTCCTGCTCAACATCCCACTGTCAAATGTCTCTTGTTGCCTGTTGCGCATAGGGTTGGTGGCACCTGTCGTGAGGCCTTCGCAATATTAGTTTGACGCATCTCGTTGTCACTCACTTCTTGGTGAACCAGGGGCGGAAGGACGAGGAGGAGGAGGAGCAGGAGGAGGAGAAGGAGGAATCTGAGGGTCAGGAGACGGCGGACGATGTGGAAGGACGAGGATGGAGAGGAGGCGGAGGTGGAGGAGGAGGAGGAACAGGAGGACGAGGAGGAGGAGGAGAAGGAGGAGAAGGAGGAGGAGGAGAAGGAGGAGAAGGAGGAGTAGGAGTAGGAGGAGGAATGCGAAGGTGACGGGGACGACGATTCAACCATGGAGGTCTCTGTGGATATTTCGCTCACGGAACCTCTAGAAGGCCTATTGAAGCCATCTCGGCGCCATC